GCACAAGCGATCTGACGAGCGCCGTTCCGGCAACTCGACCCCGGATTCTGAAGAATCTCTCCTCTCCCTCGGTGCCTGGAGCTCATCATCAACGTTGACACCGCAAGAAGAGCCGCCACGACGCTCTCGCAGGATCAAGTTCTTTGGGTACCAGCGCATCGTCACGACACCAAATACCAGAGTATACAAGGACAGACTCCTCAGCCGAGTCCTCCGCAAGTTTCCCTTCTTGGTCGAGGCATGGTACTGGGCCTTGATCTACTGGGTAAGTGGGAAACTCCTAATGCCGTCCTTCTAGCAATCATGTTTGAACCTCTCTAACACGATCAAACTGTAGGTGTACCAAGTCGGCCGCGCCTTCACCGCGCTCACCCTCAACGAGGGAACCGTCGACGTGGCGCGCAAGCATGCGCTCCAGCTCATCCACCTGGAGCAGCGCCTCCACGTCTTCATCGAGGTGCCAGTCCAGCAGTACTTTTTGCAGATGCCCACCGTGATGCACTGGATCAACCGCATTTACTCCTTTATCCACATCCCGGGCACCATCCTCTTCCTCGTCATCCTCTACTTCATCACCACCACCCGCAAGCGCCGCGCCGTCTCTGCGAAGCTCGGCGGCAATGAGAACATTCGCTGGAACTCGGCCGGTCCCGCCCTGTACGAGGCCCGCCGCCGCACCATGGCCACCTGCAACCTGCTGGCCTTTGTCGTCTTCACCCTCTGGCCCTGCATGCCTCCCCGTCTCTTGAGCGACCCCAACTACAACGGCCCCGACGCCGGCGAGTCCAAGAGCTTCGGCTTCGTGGATACCGTGCACAGCTCTACCGGTGAAAGCAGCGTTTGGACGACGAACAAGTTTTGCAACCAGTATGGTGAGTTTTGGAGATCCAAAATCGCATTCCGCACTCCCACGATGTATCGGTAACTAACAAGAACACCAAAAACAGCCGCCATGCCCTCCCTGCACTTCGGCTACTCCCTCCTCATCGGCCTCACCGTCGCGACCCTGCCCCTCCCCTCGATCCGCTCGCGGCCCTGGAAGCGCTTCGCCATCGTCGCCGTGGGCATGGCCTACCCGGCTCTGATCCTCACCGCCATCGTCGCGACCGCCAACCACTTTGTCCTCGACGCCGTCGCGGGTGCCATCGTCTGCGGTCTCGCCTGGAACTGCAACGGCGTGCTGCTCAACCTGCTCGTCGTTGAGGATTACTTCCTCCGCATGCTCCGCATTCACAAGCCCGTCAACTGGACCGACCCCGAGGCGACGATTGATACCAATGAGTGGAAGCCCAGCACGGTTCTTGATGAAATCTAAAAAGAAGATAAGCTACGAAAACTTAATGCCTATTTTTTTGTATTGCACATGGCGCATTATGCTTTTAATGGGGAAGGGATGGAATTATAAACTCTTTTTGTAATGGCTTATGGCTTGGATAACATTTTTTCATGCGTAACATTGCTTTGAGAGAACAAAAGAGATTTTGGTTACTGGAAGCATGTGTGCGAATAGTACAATACAAGTCTCGCATGATGTGGCGAGCATTTTGGGTTCAAGTGGCGGAGTTCCTTGGCCTCTTTTTATTTGCGTTTTTATTTTTTATTTTGACGCAACAATGCGAGATCGTCCTCGTTCAGACAACGTGGATAACTTGTTAGCTTGGGACGATGTTAGGCTTACGAACACAAGAGCAAGGAAAATAAGCTCACATAATGGCATTATTTGAAGAATATGATGATCAACTGTCTTTGCTAACTCGTGTTATTTGATCAGTGCGATCTTCGTTTCCATATGAAAACGTCCCTGGCGGCTGGACGGCCTGAGGAAGAGTTTACCATACTTCAGATTGCCGAGGTCTTTGTCTTGCCGAGCCGGCAATGGAATGCATTCAAGACGTTTTCCATTAAATTGCTCGGTCCTTTTGTTGGTCTTGAATGTTTGTTCGCTTTGACAGGCTGCTTCGCACGGATACGACAACCGAGCGAACGTTTAGAGACGCTTTTGTTTCCGGGGGTGCAGCAAGAACCTTATTTCGGCGCGTGTGCCGGTGTCAAGCTGTACCAGTTGGATTTAAACATGTGGCTGGGTTCGAAGTTTCAGTAATCCGTGTGGATGGTGGTGGTGGTGGTGGTGGTGGTGTATCTTCTTCCCGTTCAGACTTGAGACGATGTTCTCCAAAGAAGCTGGTATGGGAGGCGATTCCCTGCCTTGGGAAGCGAGGTTAAGAGAGGGAAGTTTGGTTTGATGTAGGAATAAGCAGGTCGTAGTACTAACAAGTAACCGAGAAAGCCTAAATCCCACAAAGCTCGGACTTCTCTGTGGTGGATTTGATCGGGAGAGGGTGTTCCAGAGGTCTGGGTGTTGAAATAAGATTCTGGGGGGCATGCAAGGTCAGCATTTTGCAGCGTTCTGTCCCAGAAGTAAGGAAGCGACTATGACAGCGGAAAACGACAGTATTCGATTGGCGTTCCCGTTCCTCCACACCCCCAACCGTGCCAGCCTAGCAGCTTTGGAGCTTTTCTGGGCGAGAAGGATGGCCACATGGCGGTGCCGTTAGATCCGAGTGTTGCGGCGGGCGGGGCGGACGGGGTGTGGAGTACACGGGGCGGGCTGGGGAGCTCCACTACCGCCCGGAGGATTGGAGTGTACGGAGTGGAGTGGTAGTGTATGGATCCACTATGGATGCCGCGGGGGCCGGATCCCGGTGAGAGGAATCGCGGTGTTTGTGTTTGCTTACCCCGCCGCGTCTCCCTTATCTGATCCTTTCCCCGCCTCTTCGCGGCTCAGGGGTTTAGTTTGCGGTCTTTAGCTCCGTTACTAAACCACTCCCCGGGCCGTGATCGGATTCGCCGTTCCGTTGCATTGCGCCGGTCCCCCCTTAATTGGTTGGCGCTGGCCGTTTGGTGACACTCGGAGGCTTGGCGAGCGAGCCGATGTTGGGCTTTCGAGGGTAGATGCCCCGAAAATTGTCGCTGACCGGGGCAAGACGTGATCAACCAGAAACGTGACCTAGGCCTTTGCTTCCCCACGCTCCCCGGATCCCGACCAAGCAAACTGGGGAGTATCGATGGGGGGATGGGAACGACCATCATTGCTCAAAGAAGCCTGTTGCAACGTCGTTATATTTTTCCGCCTTGGCGGTGCATGATGCAGTGCATCATCGAGCTCCCTTCCCCCCCCCCCCCCCTCTTTCCCCCCTCGCCAGTACCACCGACAGGAATGTATGAAATTTCCTCCATTGAGAGGTGTTCCTGAGGCCTTGGAGGGTTCTTGCTGCGTCCAACGAGAGAGCTCAATTGAACGTTGTCGAGGCGCAGTTGCTTGCATGTGCCATGCACTGCGGATGTTTATCGGCGCACCGGAGATTGGAATGAGGAGGGAAGTCGTGATAAAGGCCTCCAGAATTTGTCCATGGCGCGGTTGTACGTTGCGGGCTGCGGTCAAGGATGGGAGACGGATGATGGGTACGGCGCTGCGGAGAGGGTATATAGGCAGGCCAATCCGTAGCAGTTGATGAGCACATTTGAACCTCCCACCCAGTGTTCATCTCGTACATTGGAGACTCACTGCTAGACCCCAGGGCTTCTTCTCAACTCCTCTCATCCTTACCAGCACCCAAGATGCGCACCTCCGCACCCCTCCTAGCCCTCGCGGGAACCCTCGCCCTAGCCCAGACTCCCTCCCGCCCGTACTCAACCTGGCTCGCCTCCTCCTTCGTCGCCCGCAAAGCCCCCATCGACGCAGGCTACGGCCCAGCCGTCCTCTACGAAGGCATCGCCCGCGCCGCCGCCGCCGCCTCCAACGCGACCCTCCTCCGCACCGCTGAGACGGCCGTCTCCTCCCTCGTCTCCGACGCCGGCGTCCTCGACGGCTGGGACCCGGAGTGGTACTCCCTCGACGACATCCGCATCGGCAACAACCTCCTCTGGTTCTACCAGCGCAACACCACCGCGGGAGCGAAATACAAGATCGCGGCGGACGGCTTGCGGCAGCAGCTGAACCGGTGGCCGAGGACGCCTAGCGGTGGGTTCTGGCACCGCGCGCCGATTTACGAGGATCAGATGTGGTTGGATGGGATTTACATGGCCGACTCGTTTTATGCGACGTATGTCTCGCTGTTCGAGAAGGGGAATACCACGGCGTGGGAGGAAATTGCGCTGCAGTTTGATCTTATTGAGGAGCATACCCGGAACTACACGACCAACCTACTCGTGCACGGGTACGACGAGGCAAAGGACGCCGTCTGGGCGGATCCCGTGACGGGTGCGAGCCCGTTGGTGTGGAACCGTGCCGTTGGGTGGTACTTCATGGCGCTCATTGATACGCTGCAAGTGTATCCGAAGAACCTACCAGGATACGCGCGGCTGCAAAAGTACTTTGTCACCCTGGCGGACGGGCTGGCGAGGAGCCAGGACGCGTCGGGAGGATGGTGGCTTATCATGAACGAGGGGTACCAGACGCGCAAGGGCAACTACCTCGAGTCGAGTGCCGCGGCCATGTTTGCCTACGGTCTGCTGCGCGGTGTTCGAGATGGGTTCCTCGAGGCAAAGTACAAGGACGTCGGGCTCAAGGCGTACAAGGCGCTTGTGAGGGACTTCATTCGGGATGACAAGAATGGGCTCATCAGCTTCACGGGGACAGTGCAGGTTGGGAGTTTGAACTCGAACGCGAGTTTCGAGGTGAGTTGTTCCTGTGAGATGCCCCTCCAAGAGTTTCATTGTTAATGGGAATTCCTAGTACTACACCAGCATCCCGATTGTCGAGAACGATCATCGCGGTAGCGGGTCTTTCATGTTTGCCGCGATTGAAGCCGAGCTAGCGAAGTAGACACTGGACTGAGAAAAGACCTTTATATAGACCCGAGCCCTAGATCAGAAATAAAGCCTACATCCTTCATGTATGGCGTTGCAGCTCCAATCTGGCTTCGTGTCAATGCCCTTGTTTGACAGTAAAGATTTGACTCACAACAAAGCTTTGTGCAGCGAAAGGTCACCCTGACTATCTATGCCCTGTCCAGAGGGCTCCTCTCTCTAAGTCTTTGTCCATATCGATACAAAAGCAGAGGAATCGGTACCATGGCCAAACTAACAAACCCAAGCACTGAATTGCCCCATCCTAGGCCAAGGTTTCTGTATAGACTAGGTCCAACCAGAGGAAGGAACCCACCTATGAGACAGCGAGCCGACGTAACGCAAGCGTACGAAGAAGATGCAAAGGGCCCGGAGGCGTCAATCAAGTAAGCCTGAGAAGACGCGTTGATCCCGACCTGAGCAAAGCCAAACGGCGCCAAGCTGATCAAGGGGACAACCCAATGCGTCATCGCGTATGTCGACCAGCCGTACCAGAAAAAGGTGACGGGGATAAACAGGGCTGGGATAAAGGCGGTAACCAGTCTCATTTCTGGCTGGTATAGGCCGCCATTCTTCTTTGCGAGTCGTGCGGCGATGAGATCTGAGGTTTTGGCGAATAGGAGTAGACCGACCAGACTTCCGAAGCCGAGGCCTAGGTAGGCGAGCCCGGCTGTCTCGAGAGGCCAGCCGTAGACTTCTTGGAAGAATGAAGATGTGGATGTGAGCAGGATGTATAGAAGAGCTGAGATGAAGCCCGTCATGACGCAAAATATCGGCACGAGGGGTGAGCGGAATAACATCTTCCAAGGGCGACGGAGCGCCTGTCCTAGTGTCTGAGGGTTCTTCTTGGACGAGGTCCCAACCTGGTTGTCATAGAAGCTCAGCAAGTCCGTCCTTCCCGTCTCCTTTCCGACTCTCAATGCCTTCCGACGCAAGATGATGTGTACATTCGTCTCTGGCGTGAACAAGTTCATGAGAACCGTCACAATGGCAGAAGCAATTAGGAGTGCCCAAAATATCCAGCGCCAGCCTGCGCGCTGTGTAATGATACCCCCGAACAAGGGCCCGAGCACGGGTCCAAATAGAGACCCTGTCGTGATGATTGCGTTAGGGACGCCGCGCTGATGAATGTCGTAGAGGTCCGCTAGCATTCCACCTGCGACGGAGAAGCAAGCTGAGGCGCCGAAGCCGGAAATTATGCGGAATGCGAGGAGACATCCAATGTTAGGGGACAGGGCGCTGCCGACGTGCGTGAGGGTGTAGAAGATGTTGGCGTAGTAGAATACTGGGCGTCGACCGTAGAACTCGCTGAGTGGTGAAAGAAGAAGAGGTCCAACCTTGAAGGGGTTGATGAGCAAATGTGCCATCTTGCTTGAGTTGCGAAGTGATAAGTGAAGCTGCTTTGACTTGCAAGGTAGCCAAAGACGTAAATAGTGGTGACCATTGAAGACACCGTGGAGGAATGGTTGTGAAACTCTGAGTCAATACTCGAAGCAGCTGGCGCAATGATTGAGGATGTCAAGAAACTATCATAAGCACTGTGTTAGCCATTTGGTCATATGTTTCTCCAAATAAAGCAAGTGGATTGGCTTACCTGAGGACTATCATGCAGCTCAGTAGAGCCAGGATGGTAGATTTCTTCGTTGACGGAAAGTTTCTGCAACATATGAGCATTATTTAAACTCAGACCAAGACACAGAGTCTCCGCCCTGTTGCCATATAATTCTTACCTTGGGTTCTGGGTGTCGTGCTGGTCATCCCACGCTACCACCCCCCTGTCGAGATCAGACACAGGATCGGACCCGGCAAGATCATTGGGCGAATTGACATCAACAACACCCATTGTACAGATTGGAGGTAGAATGTACTTGGGCAGATGATAAGAGAGGCCCAAAGGGTAACTTTATTCCGAATTCCCAACATTCCCTTGAAATACCTTACTTCGTCAACACTTAGACTAGGTTCGCCCGATCGGCCGATCGGCCAAAATGTGGCACGCGGGGAAACCTCGGGAGGCGCACCGAGTCTCGAACGCTATCATCATCTTTCCACCCGGTATGGCTCTAGCTCATAATTCAATTTACTGAATTCATCTTACCGACTACAAGTTCTCTTCTCACAATTGCCTGGATCTTATTGGAACGAATCTGCGATGAGTGGCCAAAGACGTCTAGGACCACGAGACCGACCTTCTTGCAAGCCTTGTCGTGATCGCAAGGTCCGCTGCAATCGGGGCCTCCCTTGCTCGCAGTGCACTCGCTTACAGCTCTCATGTGTGTTCGAGGCCAGAACGAGAAGAGCCCCCGTAAATGCCCGATCAATCAAGTCTTCTTCGCCATGCGATCCAAACGTACCGTCGTTTTGCGAAACTCCTGCAAATCATCAAGTAAATGAGTCATCGTCCCAAACTCCGTCAGGGCAGACAACACAACCGACCAATCAGGAAGTTCTTGACCGACTTGCCCGAGTTGAAGGGCTCTTATCCCATCTCGTTTCCTCTCTTCGCGATGGAGCCCCAGTGGGAGACTACGGTGAACATCGCAAGTCTAAGGCGGACGCCGTCCCAGCTCCACCGATCCTGCCATCACAAGAAGTCCTTGTCGGAGATGGAGAGAGAGGAAACTTTGTAGATGACTCGGTTTTTGTTGGACTATTCCTTGGCGTAATTCCTTCGAGCAACTCCTGGTCTACAGAACACATATTGATACTTCATAGAACCCGCCTCGACAACGACCCGTAGCCGGAACGAAGACAAGAGATCCTGCGACCAACGCAACAACTCAACATATATCTCCCCACTACGGTATAGCTGCCACCGATGTCTTTGGATCAGACCCGGAGATCATCTCAGTAGCTCCTCACGTCCTCACCAGGCTATGGATCATCTATTTACAAAATGTTGACCCCTTGATGAAAATACTCCATGTGCCCACGATCCAGCCAGTGATACTCGGCGTCGCAGCCAAGCCCCAAGGAGCGGACAACACGACCCTGGCTCTTCTATACGCCACTGCCTTTGCGGCAACGACCAGTATGTCCAGCACCGAGGTAATAACACAGCTCAGTATTGAGAGGCTGGCTCTCTTACGCCACTTTATGCGGGAAATAGATGGCGCATTCACGAGGGCTCAGTTCTTACTTTATCCAAACGTGCAGGGGTTGAAGGCCCTAGCAATCTACTTGGTACGACAATTTTGTTTCCACTAATACATTACCCATTGCTGATCACACACAGACTGCGCTAAGAACCTTCGACACCGGCCGAACTATCTGGACGCTCACCGGGCTCGCCATCAGAATAGCAGAATCCCTCGGCGTACACGAAGACGGCTCCCGTCTCGGCCTGGGTCCCTTTGAGACGGAAATGCGTTGTCGTCTCTGGTGGCATCTCACCGCCCTAGACGCCACGGCGCCCGAAAGCCACGGATTCAACAACACAATGGCCGACCGCGGCAAAATCTTTCGCTTACCGCTGAATGTGAACGATACCGAACTGTGGCCCCATATGGACAAGGTTCCTGCTGGAAGAGAGGAGTGGACAGAGACAACCTTTTCCATCATGAATTTAGACCTCTGCCGCAACCTACGCCACGCCGTCTCCGCTGTCGGGGCGGCCGACGAGCAGACGAGGGAGGCCAAGATCCAGCAGACGGAGTCCTCCGTAGCCCATCGCTGGCTCCGATTCGCGCCCAAAAATAACGACGTGTGTCGTGCCGCAGAGTCTTTGCTTCGGATATCTGTATCCAAAGCGCGATTCATCTTGATGCTCCAGGCATGGCTCTCGACGCCGATGGAACAAGAGTGCAGGTACCGGTACCTGCCCCATTCCCTCTTCACCACTGCCATTGGACTGCTGGAGCAAGGGTATCTGCTTCAATCAGGGAAGCTTCTCCCTGGGTACGCTTGGTTCTACCAGCAGCATCCGCAGCTGTACGCCCTGTTCCTCACGCTCCGCACGCTCGTCGATTCGCCCGAACGAGGGGAGGCGGAGCGCGGTTGGATTGCTGTGGATAACTATATTGCCTGCCTCACTGATTTTGAAGAGGCCAATGAGCGAAGGGGGAAGAAGAGTTGCGTGTGGGCGGCTATGGGGCCGTTGCGAGACCGGGCGAGGGAGTCGATTCGACAACATGAAACCGCTGAGGAAACGTCAATACCGGCGGCAGCAGCGTCCCCAAAGATGCCGCCTGGAGAGAATTCTGGCACTGGACTATCACAACCGTGGAATGCAATCACGCTTGAGCCGCTGGCGTTTGACAACATTCTTACGTGGCATGATTTCTCGGATCTATTCGATGTTATTTGAGATCGAGGATCAGACAATCTGACAATCCGCTTGCAGGCCTTGCTAAGTACATTAAAAGATTGCTTCTTAGGTCGTATTTTTTTAAAAGCAAACGAATTTGGAAATGAATCTAGAAATGGAGTTTCTTCAACCTCTATTTTCTTGAACGATTCGAGTTTGCCAAGAAAGACTTGAAGCAGATAGGCCGAATCTCCTCGGTCAGAGAACAAGGCCCAATAACTCAAGAGTAGGTGGGTTCAGGCTTTTTAGAGCAAGACCTAGATGTGATAGCGAGTTTCGAATGAGAATTAACCAGTGTCCTTGTCTCAGGGTTTAACTTCGTAAAGCCCATTCAGGTAAGTAACATGGTAGGAAGCTTTCAGGCTCCAGTCTTCCGCTAATAATGGGTCATGGATAGCGGACCCAGCGCTTCTCAAGCGCATCGCGCAGCTTGATGATGTTGACAAACACGTGTGTGTTTTGCTAGCGGTCGAAAGGATCTTGTTCATGCTCCTAAGTGTCGGCTATTTACCCCGTGACCAAGCGCGACTGGTGCTGAGCCGAGGTTTGGGACAGGATACCGACAGGATGCGGATATTTTCCGCGAAGTCTAGGTTTCAAACGTTGCGGTCCTACGATGGGGATCGTTGCCAAGTGATATAGTGCCTTTGAATAGTCTCCAATGATTCATGACTCTTCACGAATAATTGCCTCTTGAGTCTTGTGATTTCGTTGATTGATAGCTGCCTAATAGCCTCCATATCGCAAAGCTTCCCAATGGGGTTAGCAATCAACCAAAACACAGTAAGCTGTGCTTTGGTAGCACCTTGCCAAGTTGCCACATTTCGAGCTAAATCCGTTGGGCTAAGCGGCTTTCCTTTGCCCACCTCGATAAACATGCATACTGTAATGAGACAAAATTGTACCCAATCATTTGCCTGCGTCAAGCGATCTTGCACCGGTGCCCACTACCAATGCAGGCTTTCTCTCAGCTGGCGACGTGGAACGCTGCACATATTCGTTAGTCTTACACACCATCTTTCGTATTTCCAAGTAAAGAGAGCCGTAATCCTACTTGTGGAGAAAAAACGTGGGTGGATCGATAAAATCATGGTGGGGACCGACGATTTGAGTCCGAGAAACCGTTGGCAATGATGCCATACAAATCTGCTGGGTGACAGGCAGACAAAACCTGTTGTTCGTCTTCATGGAAGAATGACTTAGGCCCTGCACTTGTTCTGCTTGCTGATGTTGTTATAAAACAGGACCTAAACGCTCATTGGTTACCCACATGTTGTCCAGTGCATCGGTCCTTGGCCTATATATGGCTCTCATAACGAAGTTGTATGCAAGTGCGAGTCTCCAACCGCATAGTATACCGGCCGTAAAGTCACCGCCGCTGCACGTTCCAGTGGTTTTCACGTGAACATGTGGCCTGCCTCTAAGGGGGCAATAATACAATACTTACCAACGGGTGTCTCCGCTCTGTTGGAGCGGCGCCAACGACGATCATGGGCCGCATATGCAGGTCGGCTTGGACAGCATGATCGTGACCAGGTCTGATTCATCGTGGTTTTTATCTAATAGATTTGCGATAGGCGGAAACGTACGAAGTACCACTTGAACCACTTTGCGCTGTGTTCGAGAATGTCGAATTCAGGCATCCCTTCGTAACATGAATCTTATCGCCTGTTTCGAAATCCCTCCACTTCTTGAGCTTGTGCCGTGATCGATATTCTTTACAGAAGATCTTTCTGCCCACGCGGAGGTGCCGGGATGACATGCGCTCAGGAACCGGTTGGTCCAACAGTCCGAGGCCGTCAGGCTGTCAGCAATGGGAAACCCAAAATGGAACATCTCACGACCCAATTTTGTCGGAAATTCCACGTTGGGCGCCACAACATTCCCCGAAACGCAGGCACAGGGTCTCGCAAAGGCGAAGGGAGAAAACACATTGTGCCACCCGTTCATCCGTTCTGCACTTCTTTCGCACGTAATTCAGGAGCGGTATGGGGGATCCGAAGAAACGCAGTCGTCCGCGTGGCCTGGACCTGCAGACATTCAGGTAGGACAAATGTAATAGTCTGTCCAACGAAACAATGTCTGAGCAAAAGAACGGTGTATATATCCCCAAGCACAGTCCATCTTTGTAGGCAGTGCGTACTTTTTTGTTCGATATTACCAATCATTACCGTCAGAGAGGCGACGAACAATGAGAGGCCCATCCAAGTGCTGCTGCTCTCCTCCCGACATGGAACTCGACGACGGGTCTTAGCCGCCTGGGCTGGCCGAACCCCGGGTCCACGGCCGATGCAACCCTCCACTGTCTAATGTCTAACACCCTGGAAGTAATACTAGTGGAGAAGGTTCTCATTAGGATCAGGATGCATACCAAAGAGCTGGTTGTTCAAAATAGTTCGGACGATCGGATAATGATGGGATTATCTAGCAGGTGCTACCCACTACTCTTCTCCTGCTTCCTTCCCGTTAAGTGTGCAAGGACCTGCCTAAGTTATATACAGAAATTTCTGCTCCGGATCCACGCTGTACCTGCAGTATTCGCAAACATCTCTGGCCAGACCAGCCCTACCGCACTTATTCCTCCTCCTACCTACTTAACCAATTTCTCTTTCCTCTTTGTATCATAATCACTTACCTGACCCAATCGAGACTGGACTTCACCCCAACACCAACGTTCCAATATTGGAATATTGGAGGTGGCCAGCATGGAAAATATTCTCGATAGCCACTCCGAATATGTATCGACTTCGCGATTAGATGATTTGCGCGCTACCGAGTATGGCTACCTCGATGAGCAGGATCACGTCTACCTCGACTTCACAGGCGCAGGACTCGCCGCTCGATCCCAGATCCGAGCCCACGAGACCCGACTGCAGCAAACCCTCTGCGGCAACCCGCACTCCATCAACCCAACAAGTCAATGCGCCACTCACCTCGTCGAGCAGGCACGAGCCCGCGTCCTCTCTTACCTCAATGCCTCCCCGGAAGAATACACGGCAATCTTCACCCCAAACGCAACAGGCGCCGCGAGGCTCGTTGCGGAATCATACTCCTTCACGAGACGAACCAGACTGGTTCTCACGTCCGACAACCACAACTCCGTCAACGGCCTCCGAGAATTCGCACGCCGAAAACACACACGAACCACTTACGTGCCAGTCCGCGCCCCGGAGCTGAGGGTAGACCCGTCTGACCTCATGTCAGCACTAAAACCTCGCAGAGGTGGCTTATTCGGCTCAGCTGCAGCTGCAGCTGCAAAACTAGCTCCCACCCCACGAACCAACAACGACGACACGGTCAAAACCAAATCCAAAAAGAGAGGTCTATTTGCGTACCCTGCCCAAAGCAACTTCAGCGGCGTCCGTCATCCGCTGTCATGGATCAGCGTCGCGCAGAAGCAAGGGTATGACGTGCTCCTCGATGCGGCGGCGTACCTGCCGACCTCCAGACTCGATCTGTCCGCAGAATCCGGCGTCCAACCGGAGTTTGTCATCGCGAGCTGGTACAAGCTGTTTGGCTACCCGACTGGTGTTGGCTGTCTGATTGTACGACGCGATGCTCTGGCAAAACTCGCCACCTCACGGCCTTGGTTTTCGGGTGGAACCATTACAGCGGCATCGGTTGGGATTCCGTGGCATGTTATGGCGCCAGATGAGGCTGCCTTTGAGGATGGGACGGTCAACTTCTTGTCGATACCAGATGTTGCTGTTGGGCTGGATTGGTTGGAAGGGATCGGTATGCCATTGATCGATACCAGAGTCAGGTGTCTCACCGGCTGGTGCCTCGATCGTTTACGGAATCTCGAACACAGTGACGGGTCGCCCATGGTCAGGATATACGGCCCGACAGATATGAAGCTGAGAGGTGGAACAATTTGCTTCAACTTTTTGGACATTGGTGGAAGGGTCGTCGATGAGAGACTGGTCGCTAAAGAAGCCTGTGGCGAAAACATATCACTACGAACGGGCTGCTTTTGTAACCCTGGTGCCGGAGAAGCTGCCTTTGGTCTGGATAAAAGGGCTTTGTTACCGCTCACCGGCATCCAGAGTGACTCTCTGGACGACTACGTCAGGCTTTTGGCGCCTGTGGGTGCTGCACGGATCTCATTTGGGTTCATGACGACGGCAAAGGACGTGGATCGATTCTTGGACTTTGTGAAAAGGAGATACACAGACCGGCTGACAACAGCTAATGGCCTACCGCCACACGAGCACTGTTGAGTACAATTATGGCCTACATAAACCACGTTTTGTTCAATGACAAATTCACTTATTGGCATACAAACTGTTACTTGATAAGGTGCATGTAGTCGAACATGGCCCCGGCATGAAGATCGGCCCTCAAGTACGGGGCATCCCACTTTGCATGAGCAGATAAATCCGACTGCATTCATGACAATATCATCTCAAGAGCCATGCCATTGGTGGAGTCGGCTACCTATCCCGGAAGTAGTGCCACATGATAAAGAGTGAAAGCTCAAACCAACTTTGATAACTCAGGTCTCACCATACTTTACGATATTACCTAGTAGAGTGCCATTCACCAACCAATGGTTGCTGACAGCCTCTCAACTGAGCGATTAAATAGTCTACTAGTTCAACGCAGAAGCAACCCTATTTCCTTAGCGCATAAAGGCTGTAGAATAAACAAGATCGTACAATAGATGCCCCGATCGTGAGATCGTCACTGACAAACCGATGCTGCCGATTGGTCGCCATACTCTCGGTGTTCAACAGAACAAATCACGAGCCGCTGCGAATAAATCCCGCGAATTGAATAGCATTTTCCTATTTCGTACATAGTCAAGTATTCGAGCAAGGATGTTGCATGGGTGGGCGTTTTCACGAAACATTCTCAGTGTTCTGTGTTACCTGGCACAACTTACAACTTCAACTCCTAATCAAGCTCAGTAATCACTTGCAAGTGCCTAGTAAAATAGAACGATGACTCCAAACATTGAATGTCTTATGGACTGAGAAGCTCATTGGCGGGGCGTGTTTGTGGCTGCTATTACCTGCAAATGGTAGGGCAAACAGTGTGGGGGGAAATCGCTGTCTGTTGGATGTTTTGTGTTTTCCGGGTTGTTGGAACTAACCCAGTTACCGAAGCAGTTGCGGCACAAGCAACAGGGTTTCTTTCTGTACCCATGGCTCTATGAAGAATTATTTTATCTCGCCGATTTCTTATCTATGGCACGATTCTCCACATCTTTGCGTGATGTTACATTTATTACCCTAATATCCTTTCCACCTCGGTGGTACCTCATCCATCCGAACAGTCCGGCAACTGACTTACTGGATCTCAAGTCACGATGGAGTCTTTGAAGCCGACTTGGTACCATGAGCTACTTGCTCTCGGCGCTTTATCCTTTCTAACGACTCTACGTGAGTCTTCTTTGCAGATCGCCGCTCAATACCTGATCGCTCTGCTCGTGGCGCGGCACGTTGTCAGGGCAGTGTACTACCTCTTCATCTACCCGTACTTCTTCTCTCCCCTCAGACACCTCCCAGGGCCAAAGGCAAGAGAAAGACACAAAATTTCTTCGATACGGCTTACCTTATTCCTAACATACCTACCAGGACCACCACTTCCTCGTCGGCGACCTCATAAACCAGGCTAGGTCAGGAAACCCCATCGAGCCATACCTCTCATGGACGCGACAATGGCCAGACGAGCCGTTGATCAAGTTCACCGGCTTCGGCAACGCGGACTGCCTCATCATCAACGACCTGGAGGTCTTTAAAGAGGTCTTTCAGACAAAGAGCTATTCCTTCATCAAGGCGCAGTTCAACACCCGCATCATTGTACAAGTGACGGGGACCGGGATGGTGTTTGCTGAAGGAGACTTACATAAGGCCCAGAGAAAGTTATTGTCGCGTAAGTCGTTCCTTAGCATTTCATGACGAGAGACTCGTCTAAAACCTGTATGAACTTATAACTAATTACAATCTCACAGCCTCATTTTCTCTCACCAAAGTCAAAAAGGCGATCCCACTCTTCCAAAGCAAAGCAAAAGAGCTCGTCCAACTCTTTGATAATGAGATCAAGTCTCAACAGGGCGTCGTAGACAGTAAGTCTGGCCTCAAGCAGTTCGACTTGGTCGACTGGCACCTAAATCTCGCCTCGACAATCCTCTTGCTAACCTTGCGGGTTCACCTCAACGCAGTGTCCCAAGCCTTCAGCCGTGTTACAGTCGACATCATAGCATGGTGGACCCTCGGCATCGACCTCCAAGCAACCCTAACCCACTCCTTCTTCCATCAAGCCTACCACCGCATGTTCGACCCGTCCCTCTTTGGCGGCATCCTCATGGTCATGAACGCCTACATCCCAGGAACCCGCTCACTCCCCTTTGAAGAGAATCGCGTCTTCAACGCCTGCAGCGGTGGCGTCCGCTCGCGCATACGAGAAGTCATTCGCGAACGCTTCGCAGAGATTGACGAGGTCCCCGGCGGCAGCGGTAGCGGTGGTGATGGTAAAGGCGCGGAAAAGACCCGCGACAGGCCCGATCTCCTAACGCACATGATCCTCGAGTCCAGATCCATCAACGAGCCCTGGTCCGAGGACGAAATCCTCGAAAATTGCCTCAACATGATGGTCGCAGGCCACGAGACCTCCGCCACGACGCTCACCTGGGGCACGCACATCTTCACGCTCTACCCGCACATCCAAACGCGCGCCAGGGCCGAAGTCTCGCGTCTCCTCAAGAAGAACCCGACGCCGGACTACCGCGACCTCGAAGAGGGCCTCCCCTTCATCGATAACCTCACACGCGAGATCCTCCGCTTTTACGCGCCGGGCGTCCTGGCCGCCCGCGAACCGCTCGAGGACGTCACCGTCGGCGGCACGTTCGTCCCCAAGGGTACCCCACTGTACATGTTCCCGGCCCTCGTCACTAGGAACAAGCGCATTTGGGGCGAGGACGTGGATGTCTTTGACCCGGACCGGTGGGACCGTCTCAAGGGGACGCCGGCGAGCAACCCGCTTGCCTTTGCGACATTTTTGGCTGGGCCTAGGCAGTGTATCGGAAAGGGGTTCGCACTGATTGAGATCAAGGTGCTCTTCATGGCGATTTTGAGTAATTTCAAGTTTGAAGCCGCGGTGGATCCTGAGGATATCGAGTTCGTTAATCCGAGTCCTGTTTTGAGGCCCAAAGGGGGTTTGAAGGTGAAGGTGCGACGGCTGGAGACGGGTGATGTTGAGGATGCGTCCTTATACTGAGTTTCCTTCTCATTATTCATCATGGGCGTTATGTGTGGCCAGTTACTCCTTTGCCTCTATTCGATCTCTCAGATAGCCTATTTTTGATTATAGATACACGTCGCAACAACAGACTCTATAGGAATTTTCTAGAGCATGTTCCCTATCGGCCAAAAGACTTGCCGTATTGTCAAAGGGGAGTTGGAGTGATGTTAATTCCCCGCTCATGTTGAATTGCTCAAATTAGATTGGGACGGCAACACTTCTACCTTATCCTTGGGTCCATGCAATTTGATAAGTGGTGTTGGTGTGGTGGATGCGCTTCGAGGACAACGCCAAATACAACCTTGAGATGTATAACGCCAACTGACATCTCTGTACTTACAACGAGTGAATTAGCGAGCATTCAGAAAGAATTCCAGACATGAATTGCCAATTGCCGCAAGGGTCAATTGGTAAATGAAGAGTCTTGCATGGCCGACTAAGACGTCCCCATGAGCTAGTCGTGCGCCCTTCCCGCTTGGCGTAGAAACGACGAGGGACCAATGACTCACCCCCACTACGACTAAGACCGAGACTCTAAATACCTTCATCAACTACATCTACAAACCTCACGAAATCATCATCCTCATCACCAATTGAGACTTAAAGTCTCCCCAAAGACTCTGGGTAACTTACAAGCAATGGCATCACCCTACACCGTCCTCGTAACAGGCTCCGCCGGCCACCTCGGCGCAGCCCTAATGCTCTCCCTCCCATCCCTAGGCCACGTCCCCCACGGCATCGACATCCTCGCCTCCCCGACGACAACAACAGTCGGCTCCATCACAGACCGCGCCCTCATAGCCTCCATCCTCGCCGACAACCCTTTCATCACACACATCGTTCACGCCGCAACCCTCCACAAGCCCCACGTTGACTCCCACCCGAAATCAGCCTTCATCGACACAAACATCACCGGCACCCTCGTCCTCCTAGAAGAAGCAGCAGCCGCCCAAAAGAACCGCATCAAATCCTTCCTCTTCATCTCAACAACCTCAACCTTCGGCCGCGCCCTCGCCCCAGCACCAGGCCAACCCGCCGCCTGGATCACCGAATCCGTTACGCCCCTACCCAAAAACATCTATGGCGTGACCAAGTGCGCAGCCGAGGACCTCTGCAGCTTAATCCACCGCCAAACATCCCTCCCCGTCCTCGTCCTCCGCACGTCCCGCTTCTTCCCGGAACCAGACGACGACGAGGACCGCCGCGCCGCCATGCCCGACGACGCGAACCTGAAAGTCTGCGAGCTGGCCTACCGGCGGGTCGACATCGCCGACGTCGTTTCCGCCGTGGTGTGCGGGATGGAAAAAGCCAAGGCGATCGGGTTCGGGAAGTACATAATCTCTGCGCCGCCGCCTTTTGTTGCTGCTGCTGCTACTACTACTACTACTGCCATGGCCACTGACGACGACGCGGACGCTGCCGCCGCCGCCCGCTCGACGCTTCTGCGCCGCTTGGACTCGGACGCGGGCGCCGTTGTCGCGGAGGTCGTGCCCGGGTGCGCGGCCGTGTTTGAGAAGCTCGGATGGAGGTTCCTCGACAGGTTGGACCGGGTGTACGATTCCTCCAAGGCGGTCAGGGAGCTCGGATGGAGGCCTCAGTGGACGATGGAAAAAGTGGTCAAGAGGCTTGCGAGGGGTGAGGATTGGAGGAGCGAACTGACGCATGCGGTCGGCAAGAAGGGGTACCACGCCGTGTCGACTGGCGTGTATACTACGCGTGACTGAATTCTCACAAGGTTTGCAAGATGGTGTGCAAAGATGAGATTGAAGACAGAAAATTACAGGTTTTGGTATTGATAGGTCTATGTATGCTTTCATGAAGATATCCAATCGAAAATATGGAAAACAAAAAAGTAAATGGGTACTCAAACAATTCCGCCAACATGCTATGCAGCGCACGCCAAAGTCTATACCTCAATCTCCTCCCTTACAATTCCCAGATCCCTTCCGAGATCGAGAATCTGTGTCGCGACCGCTTCCACATCCCATGTCTTGATGGGCACGCGGTGAGCACCGTCCCATTCGACCAATCGTGTCGTCCCCGGCTGGCAATACTGCTTAAGCAACACCCTGTGATGGTCCAACCCAGCATCCTTCATACCGTGGACGTGAATCGTCGGCAGCTTCAAGACGTGGTCCGTTCCCGGGCCTGTCGGCCAGTCATGGAACTCGACACTCGCCTCGGCCGCATCGCCGACACCCTGCGGCACCTCCAACCTGTCGTCGAGCACAATCAACGGCGCCCTACCCGCGAGCAGCACGCCAAACTTCCAGTCTGCTGAGCCGCCCGCCGACGTGATGCGCTTTCCGTACTTCTTCTTCAGCTGTTGTTGCGTGTACATCAAGCTGGCACTGATCTTGGCCCCCTGGCTGAATCCCAGTAACCCCACCCACTCCCCCGTCGCGCCGATGGCGTCGTCGTCGTCCATTGCCATGCGTAGCTGGAAGTGGATCTCGGCGGACGCCGTCTCGGCGTCTACGGCCTGGTGCTCGGGAAGCCAACGCAGCCAGCGGCGGAAAGGGCCATAGTCGCCATACACGGAGATGATGTCGTGGTGAGGGGCGCACATGAAGGGTCCGTCAACGAAGACGAGACGGAAGCTGTTCTTAAGGCGGGAGATGAGGGCGCGGCACTGGACCTTGAAGACGGAGGCGTTGACGCCGCCGCCGTGAAGGCAGAGGATACGCGGGAGGTGGAGGGTGGGGTCAGGACCCGGCGGCGGTGATGTTGCGCTTGGCATTGTGTAGACACGTAAGGCCGCTTGTTTGGCGCTTAAGGCGTGTATGTGTATGCGGGTAGTAGTAGCAGCAGTAATAGTCGTTCCTTTGATGAAGTCTCAGTGCTGCAAGGTAAAAGACAAGAGCTAGGTTCTTCGGGACCGAAGAGTGAAGACTCGGGTGCTTGAGAAGAGGGCGAAGAGCGAAGATAAACGCGAGAGCAGGAGGGAAGAGAGAGGACGAGGACCCGAGGATAATGATAAAAGGTCGGCGACTTCTTTACTCTAATCAGAGACAAGAGGAGGAGTAGGAGGAGGGAAGAAGGGAGCGTTGGCCAGCTCTACCTTGCGCTTGCGCTCGTTCACGGCTCTCGACTCTCTCACCCTCTCCTGGACGCTTGCCCACCTTTTGCGCAAGGGCAGCAAACAGAGCGTCAATGTGGGGCGATGGATTCCTTTGTCCGTCGCTCACCGGCCGGAGCTCCGACACACAGGCACTGGCGCCGACTCTCTTCACTTGCTTAATTGATTGCTGACAGTCTACCTACTGCGCCCGAAGAGAGCAGACAATACGGGGAATGAACTTGAAGATCGAGCAAGGCTTGTCCCTTTCAGGTCGATGGTCACGCTCGTTGGCGCGAGTCAAATATCCGCCCCCGGGCAGCCGGGGGGAGAAGTCTGTCGTACAGAGTCTAGACAGGGCCGCCCTCAGAAAAAGGACAGGAAGATCGTGGGGCGGGATCGTCTCGGTGTGTGTGGATGACAACTCCGCCGGGAAGTGGATAACTCGTCCCAACGGATTTCTCTTTCTGCGGGAAACGCTAAAAGGCGGCCTTGTCAGTTTGATGCGGACTCTCGTGAGCTTTACCGCAACAGAGGTTCGTCTCTGTGTCGTGCCTCGCAAGCTTGATCAAACTTTTTGGGACGTCGAAAATAAAAAGGACGACAAGCAACGCTATCAGACCCGGCGGTATGGTCAAGCAGCTGCAGCGAGCGCCGAGGATCAGATGCCGGCAGCGAGAACAAACAAAGGATGAGATGAGGCAGGGCGTAGACGTCTCTGCTCTGTTTCCTCCCAAAGTTTGGTTGCAATTGGGGATTTGACGCGCGTGATTCGGAGTTGGAGGGCGTCGGGATCACTCTCTGGTGGCTGATTGTCAGCCCTTTCTTATTTTCGCGTCAATAGCCCGGTCGTTGGTAAGACGGGACTCGGTGTCAGGTTGTCCTCTGTGCCTGTGTTCGTGTTTCTAGTTTCCCAGGTCGACGGACAGGTTGGGAGACGTCCGGGATTCCCACTCTTGGCGAGGTCCGGTCCGAGACCAGTCAACCACATTTGCGCATGTCGCCCTGTTGATACCAACCTGATTAATTAACCGGCGGTGCGAACTGGAAACGCGACGAAATGTCATAAAACCGAGCATGTCGTCTAATAAACTTCGTCTTGGAAGCTTCTCGACTGTCGCAATGTTGCAGCGAAATGACATGGCGAGGACGGGAACAGGAATAGCCATGGTGGTTCGGGGTCCGATCACCGAGGGTTGATTCCCGACTGAACAATCCAACGGTATTGGTGGGTGGGCGTCTCTTTCGCCGAAAAGGCCAAGTCCGTCGAGGTCCGGACACTTGACAGCCTATTTAGTCACTCGTGTCCCCCCGTTTCCTCTTTGGCTTTGTTTAGTTCGGACAAGACTGGCAGACAGCCATCTTCCGCGCATACGCATAGCATCCAACATGATGACGGCAAGTCGATACGTCAGAGGTCGCAACAAGTGTAAGTTTGGCCGTCATCGCGAATGCGAAGCTGTCAAACAAATTCAAAGTCAACAGAGGTGACAGCTTGGCAATCGTGGCGATGGTGTGTATCCGTACCCGCTTTCGCTGGGGAATAAGGTTGGGTCGTTGGGGGAAAAGAGGTGGGGAAGAGAGAGAAAGATGGAGACCTCCCACGCTTCCCTCGTGCACTACTACGTACAACTGCTTAGGTAATATTCCGTATGGAAGCGCCTTACCTAAGGCCCAAGGAAGGAAGCCTATTCGTACTTACCTCAGGTACTGTGTAGCACCTCTGCTTAGGTAAGGCGTACAGAGTACCTTTGCTGCTTAGATAATACGAATGAAAGAAAGGGTCTTTGGTAAGTGAGTCGGAATGTCGGCCCCGTCGCTCTGCGTTAGCCAGCTGCTCAGCCACACTCCTCTGCCGCCAGCGGACCCGTCGGTTCCCGCCATCCCTGTGCATCAGCCACATCATGACGTTTCCTGGTGTTCCCGGTGCCCCTCCAAGTTTCCCCCTCTCGTACGGCGCCGACGCTGTGCAAGGTATGAGCTGTTGCTGCTTGGCTTGGTGGTGGTGGTGAGCTGGCAAACGATGACATGACTCTCCCCCGTCTGCATTCATTGAGAGGCCTCTCTGCAGAATATCTACACCTTACCCCGTTTTCTGGACCACAAGCTACCAGGAGCTCAGCCTCACACGCCTACGATATCCACGTTGACGACAGTATACGCCACATTACGCCCAGCAGAATTCATTAAACTTCCATCGGTCTTGCCGTAAAGCTCCATCAAACACCAGACCTACAAAAGGAACAAACGCACAGCGATTCTCTCCTCATCGGCTCACTTTTATCCTTCATACTACCATCTCAAGATACCCCTCATTTCCAAAAGCTGCCAACTAGAGCAATTGCATTGCCTTCTTGGATTGCTACTTCGACACTCTTAATCTCATCAACCCGAATCTAATCAGTCATCGACAGAAAAGACACCCTCAATAATGTCTGGCACCAACCCGGAGAAGCCTCCTATCCAACCAGAGCAGCAGCTCTACCCTCCCCCTCCCACCGGCGACAACAACCAGCAGCAGCCTCCTCAGTACACCTCCGGTCATGAGCAGCAGCAGTACAACCCGGACCAGAAGAGCGCCGCCGGCCCCGGCCACGAGCAGCAACACTTCCCCCCTCCACCCCCGGGCCCTCCCCCCGCCAACCAGCCGCAGTTCACGCACGCTCCCCAGCAGCAGCAATACGCCGCCGGCAGCTCAGTCCCCCAGCAGCAGTCATATGCACAGACGCCCGGCCAGCAAGCTCCTTACAACCCCGCAGATCACGGCGCCGGCCACCACTACTCACAACAGCAGTTTGAGGGACCTCCGGGAACGGCAGCACCGAGCCACGCCCAGGGCGGCCCTTACACCGACCCGGCTGCCGCGCACGCTGCGTACATCGCGCCCGCTACCGATCCCAACCACAAAGAGAAGCGCGGATGGGGTGAGCGCCTCTCTCAGATGGGCATGAAGGCCGCCGTGCCCATCAACGCCCTCGCCAACAAGATGGGCTCGCAGAGCTTTCTGCCTACCACCATGGATAGAGAGTGCGACAAGGCGGCCAAGATCCTCAAGAGCTTTTGCAGTAAGTGTTCCCAAACAACACCCCATTGAGCACACGGCTAACACACACTCTCACAGAGGAGGGAATCACATCCGATGTACCACCCCAGACACAGACGGGCGAGCACCTCGAGCCCGGCAAGCACGCTGAAGCCACTGGCTCCCGCCCCACGACACCCAACAAGGACAAGGCCCGCAAGGAGTCCAAGGCCATCGTCAAGATCCCCTCAAAGGTCATCAACAAGGCCGTCGGCCTCGCCATCTTCACCACCGCCCGCGTAGGCTTCCAGTTCTCCGGCGCCACCGGCTCCGGCATACTCATCGCCCGCCTCCCAGACGGCTCCTGGTCCCCGCCCTCAGGCATCCAAGTCCACGCCCTCGGCGCTGGCTTCATGATCGGCGTCGACATCTACGACTGCGTCTGCGTCATTAACAGCCCCGCCGCTCTCGCCGCCTTCATGTCCACCCGCGTCAGTCTCGGCCCAGACGTCGCCGTCGTGGCTGGCCCCTACGGCGCCGGAGGCGTCATGGACGTCGGCGCCTCCTTTGGCGGCAAGAACCCCGAGGTCAAGGACAAGAATGCCGCAAACGACCACGTCACGGACGCCAAGCCCGCCGAGGACGGCAAGCTCAGGCCCGACGAGAAAGACAAGAAGCGCAGGAGCAGCAGCACCTCGCTCAAGCCCGTCTTCTCCTACGTCAAGTCCCGCGGCTTCTACGCCGGCATCCAGGTAGACGGCACCGTCGTCACGGAGCGCAAGGACGCCAACGCCGCGTTCTACGGACAAAAGGTCACCGTGGACCAAATCGTAAAGGGCCAGGTGCCGCCCCAGGGTCCCAACGGCATGTGGCCCGCCGGCGCCCACCCGCTCTACGAGGCCCTCCGCACCGCGGAGCAGCAGCAGGCTCTCCCTGAGGTTCACCTGCCCCAGGCGACGCCCGGCCAGCAGGCCCCGCCCGGGTCGATCCCCCCTCACCAGCAGCAGCAGCCGGCCTATGGTCAGCAGCAGCAGCAATACGGCCACTCGGATGCCGGCGGCCCGCTAGGTTCGCATCCTCCCGGCCAGGGTGGCCCCGTCGCCTCGGGTGGTCTGAGCCGCGAGGAGCAGCTTCCGGGCTACGTGGATGATGGTGTGGCGCGGCCTGGTGTCGGTGATCACAAGGGTCACTACCAGTAAAGAGGGAGTGAGAGGCAATCGGTTTTGAATTTGTACAGGAAAGAAGGGTATCCGCAAAGGGCCAGAGAGATATCCCCATGGGCGTTTTTAGTGGTTGGCATGCTTTATTTAAGCTTAGCACAGATGAATCCGAATCAAGATATCCATCAACACTTACCTTTCATACACCTATAATTTGCAACAGTGACTGCCGGATTTACATTACACTTCCACTTTGCTCGATCTTACATCACCGTCCCCGTCCCTACGATCTGTCATCTATAAGTCGCCTTTCATGGCCATAAGGGAAAGAACAGAACAGAAAACCTCGAAGGGAAAAATCCTCAAACGCCAGAACGAAATGGAAGAAAAAGCCCCGCAGACGCCCGAGAGATAAACCAAACCCAGTCTGCACGCCGCCCCTTTGGGCCAGCCTGTAAAACACTTTTGTTGCTCTGTCACGCTTGTCAAGAGCGTGCCTTGCCATAGAATGCCTTACCTCGCCTTGTCTTACCTCGCCTCCTGCCGGCCACAGATCCTCCGCGGTCACACAGCGTCGAGAAATATTTTTGCCTGCTCAGGTACACATTCGAGTTACACAAACCAGATGGAAAAAAGGTGACAAGCGCACGGGAGGGAGAGACTCAGACACGGGAAGAGAAACACGCACACACCCCGAGTACCTTGTTATCGACATAGTACAAAACCGAGAGAAAAGAAAATGAAAGACAAGCATGCTATCTACGATATGGCCAACGGCCGGGGCCGCTGCAGGACTCGAGTAGGACGAGATATACCTGCCTGCCTGTCGAAACCTGAAAGCCCGTAGACTGTTTGTTGCTTGTCCGTTGTGTTTGCCGTCCGTATTGCTTGTCTCTTTCCGGTTTTGCAGGTTGCCGCACTTTTGACATACAAAGGTGAAAAGTCATATACACGAGGGCGCGGCAAACACACAACAGTCTGCTTCTTCAACCTTGACCTTTAAGACTGGGAAAAATACAAGATTTCCCAATTGATGATCGTTTGGAATAGATACTCGAGTGCGAAGTAGGGAGGTAACTTGGCGAAACAGCAATCACCAATTTGATGAGGACGTAGGGGGAAAGTAAGCAAGGGCTTCGACTAGTTTCCGCTAACTCGCTCATCGTCCCGAGTGGTCGACCTGCCGTGCCTTATGTGGCTTCATCTTGCATCCAAGTACACATGCGTCGGATGCTTCACAGACACGATTGCGAGCCACGTCTGGCTGGCTGCATCCGCACGCTAGCCCTAGTTCGATTCGGAGGGCCTTTCCGAACAAAAGGGAAGCATGGTCTTCCTGGAAAGAAACATGTGCTGCTGTTGCGGCCGGCAAGGGAAGCAAAAAGCAATGGTTGGTTCTGAGTCCTCCTCAGATTGGGAGCCGCCATGCCATCGCAGTGAGCACGGGAGATCATGCAGGCAGGCCAAGTGCGGGGATGGGCAAAAATAACGAGGCCCAATCAATAAGTCAGGTCGACGAGAAGTAATGGTTGTTGAAGGTCCAAGTCAGGACGTCTAGCATCTATTGAGACTTTGGATGACATACCTTCAAGCTTCTGCTTGTGAGCCATCGAGGCGCTACAGCAGACAAGAAGGATTCAAATGGAGGTCTGATGGAGATAGAGCCTGCAGGCTACGGCCCCTAGACGCCCCTTGATCGAGCCACTGAGATAAGCGGAGGGAAGACAGCAGATCATGATATACGCCAAATAACCCCTTGCACGATAGAAGCCGACAGGCCGTATGGAGAGTGATAGACAGACGTTGGTGCGGCGTAGCCCAGGGGCCCATGGGCCTAACTGCCGGCCGACTCCCGCGCGGTCCCGCGTGGTTAGAGATTTAGCATTGTGGCATCCATTAGATCAGTGATAATAAATCCGGAGCAGTCGCCAGCGCTGAATGGTGTTCGGTGCTTGTCACTGGTTGGAAGAGGGCCAACGGGCTGGATGTTGTTATAGGGAATAGCCATACCGAGCAGGACGATCCCCAAGTGATGTGAAACGGATCAGTTGGGTGATCCGCAGGGGTTCATCAGGTAACTTTTGACACAATTCAGACGACATTCGTTGTGCAAATTGTCTTGGATCCAAAATAGCAGCGGTGATGGACGGATGGCTGGTCCTCGGGTGCTTTAGCACGTGGGCTTGGCTCCGTACAGATACAGATGCTCTGTTCCTCAAGGTAGGTAGACCACTCCCGCCGGCAGTTTAATCTTGAATGCGGTTCCGACATTCCAGTACAGAACCAGCAAGGCGGTGCATCGCATTCGTGACGATTGTCTGGACTTTGCTTGTCTCTCCGAAGCCGCAAACTCGGATCGCGGGAGTCATGCCCTGTTCTGAGTCCCCGGGTTAGCTGAGCCAAATTCCAGAATCCTCATTCTGCGTGGGACTCGTGAGTCGTGGTGATCCATGGGCTGGTGGAGTAGCCTGACGAGTTGGATTTGGTGGGCAGGGTTGTGCTGAGGACGTCATCGTCTCCACGACGATGAGACGGCCTGGGATGTGCAGGTCTCTTTGCGTCTTTTGACGTTTGGCAGCAATGCTTTCTGGGCCTTCGTCAGAGGTTAAGTCTTCTTGTTGCTTGCTTCGGCCTTTCGCCGGCGGTTCAGAACCCCCAGTAGGCCCCTATTTTTTTTTTTTTTTTGCCTGTGTGCCTCTGTAAAGTCCAAACTCCAACTGCCCACAACCCCTTCTTCATCTGATATCCCCACGCCAAGGAAACGGTCACTGAAAACTGGCGCTGTATTGATGTGCAACAGATCCGTCAGGCCGTGTCGGCTCTCCAGTTGCGGTTGGATGGGCAGGTCGATCGACCGTATCCAGCAATGCTCCCCGTTTTTCTCTCTTTTCTTCGTTCTGGGCTTCGGGGTGTACGCTGTGTCCTTTGCACGATTCGCACGCGGTTGGGACCGGTTCGCCAGTGCAGCCGTCATCTAAACATTTGCGATTCCTGGACGATTAAGCTCATCGCCAAGTCCAAATGTTTGTCTTGACTGGCCGGGGAGAGCTGGCGCAATTGACTTTTGCCCGACTTTTGGCTCTGAGCTTCCCGCTTGTCGGGGCATGCAGTGGAAGGCTGGAAAGTATGTTTTCTAAGGTTCACGGCGTCGAACCGAAAGTCTGATGGACTGGGCCAGCTACCGCTCCAAGCACCCGCCGTGGTTTGGGGGATGGGTGGCTGGACGGTTGAGCTTCACCACCATGCGTGCATGCCACCATGGCTTGAAAGGGGAACAAAGAATGCGTGTCTGTTGTCAGAGAAATGCTGATCGGCCGCGGTTCGCAGCAGGATCCGCGTCATGTTTCGTCGAAGCAGAAAGGAATTCAACGGCGCCGGCACAATCCCTGAATCGGGAAGCGTCACTGTCAGTTGGGGGTGTCTAGGTCCCTAGGATGCATGGACTCAAGAAATGATTTGTTGCAGGGTAACAGTCCATTAAACAGCGGACTCTTTTCAGCCAGCCTTCAGTCCATTTTAGGACCGTTATGTCGCAGGCACTGCAGGGTACCAAGGCAGTTGTCCAGCCAGAGAGGATAATGGCTTGAAAGCAACGCTTCCCGTCCTTTGTCGCCGTCGATCTCAGCTGATTGGAACATGGGATTGGCTCTCTGGCTTCTTAGTGATCCAGGGGCCTCCGCGACCGTTGAGGATGCTGGGAGTGATTGTATACTGTCGTACGGATACCTTGCTGTGTAGGAGCAACAAGGGGCGGTTGCTGAAGATCTGAGCCTCCCCAGGGCGGCAACCATATTTCGGATCGCGGCAAATGCGTAACGATGCTTTGAAAACACCAACTGTTTGCGGCCTCTAGGACCAGCCGCCCAAGGAGAAAGTGTGGCCAAGTGCGCAGCTATTTGGCCACTTTGGTGGAGGCGACGGTGCAAACTGGGTCGTCCGGTTGGGAGTGACGACGCGTAAGGCGGCCCGTTTTTCTCGTGGTGCAAAAAATAGCAACTCTTCTGTCGTATGCATCTTGATTTCTGGCAGACAGAGGGTTTCATTCGGAGTAATACTGCGCAGGCGGCGGGTGGCAGGAAACAGTGGTACCAGAACAGGCTGTGCTCGTGTATGAGCGGGTACACTATACGAAGAATGCGAAGTTTTCAGTGGCAACCACACAAACCCAAATCAGGACTTGGGAAAGATGCTGCACCCGCAAGGCAATACCATCCAGCTCGTGATGATTGCGCTGTACATAGCGGACGAAACAAGGTGTCCCAGAGTACAGTGCACAGTAGAGCGGGTTCAGAAGGCCCGATGACGATGGCGATGCAGGCGGCTGAACCAGCGTCACGGGTTTGGTGGCAGAGGCGGCGACTCGATGCGAATTGGTGATGGGGCCATCCGGTTTCTGCAGAGGGGTTCTTTTCCTGCCTTCCATCCGTAGCTGGTGTAGCGGTCCGGAAACTACTCCGTGGGAGACGCCATATGCTTCTTGATATTGACCAAAGAAAAGATACCCATATTATCATTGTCTGGCGGCTGACCGAGGTCGGAAACGGCTGGTCTGGGATTGAGGCGAATCGACGATGATCAGCAGCGTGGTATATACCTACATACGTAGTAGATTGGGTAGCGAGTAGAGTTGTCCGAGCTGTGCAACACCATCCACCGAATGGAGAAAATCCACGGGCCAAGTTGCCAAGTCATTGTCTGCTGTATCCGTACCCATATTGAACCGACAGCACGTTTGATCCTTAGGGCCTCGACCGTCAAATCTGTCACTATCCGAAAATGGACCGCGTTCGGCCGGCCCTTGGGAACCCTCGGGAAGGGTTTGCGATGATGCCATGAGCAGTCTAATTCAGAAAGACCCGATTGGGAGCCGAGCTGCGATATGAATTGGAACGGAGACTAGGATTCGCGATTCGGGTATCCGTACGGATAGACTCGACCTGGAAGGGGTTGGCCTGGCTGGCTTCGCAGCAGCAAATTGATGAAATTTGGACGGTTTGCAGATGGGGTGGGGGGAGGGAAAATAATTAAGATTGGGGTCG